TAGAGTATTGTTTTTCATCCTTTACTTTTCAGTTCTCAATTTCTATTTTGAATTGAATGTGTTTCTTGTTAAGAACATACTGTTGGATCTTGCTTCTTGATCCATTCTGCCAATCTGTTTTTGAGTGGTGAATTAAGACCATTTATATTGATGGTTATAACTTCCCTGTGTTTTACCTCTGTTTAATTGCTCACCCTGACTAATAGTTTCTTCTTGTTCTTGGAATTATGGTCTTTTTTTTTTTTTAATCTCTGATTAGAATATATTTCAATATACTTTGGAGAGCTAGTTTGGTTGTCATGAGTTTCTTTAGTTGTTCCTTGTTGTGGTCATATGTCATTTGTCCATTAACTTTGAAAGATATTTTTGCAAGGTATGTGAATCTGGATTAGAAGTTTTTTTTTCTTTTTTTCTTTCCAAGACTTAAAATACTTCAAGCTCTTCTTGACTTGAAGATTTGTTCTGAGAAATCTGTTCTGATTCTGATGTACATTCCTTTATAGGTGATTTGATCTGTTTCTTTTTTCTAACAACTTTTAATATTCTGTTCTTGTGCTGAATTTCTAAAATCTTGTTTATTACATGCTTTGGTGTAGATTTATTTTGGTTGTGGGTAATTGTAGTTTCCTGTTTGTCTCTCTCACTTATGTGTATGCCCCGTCCCGCCCCTGCCTTGGGAAGTTTGCTGTCATTACTCCTGAAAACAGCCTTTTTAGTCATTTGTACTGATTCCTACTTTTTCGTTGAGTCCAGCCAATCTTACGTTGTTCTCTTTACATCACCTTTCAGCTGTTGAATTCCCTGGTTTCTTACTAGTTTTTAGAGGTGTTTCCTTCTATGATTGCTAGTTGAGATCTTGTCCTCTAGGCCTGATATTCTGCCTTCACTTACATTTATGTTGTTTTTTGAAGTTTCAAAGGAATTTTTTATTTCACAGGTATCTGTTTGAATCTGTTTCAGGGATTCCATGTGTTCCTATGTTGGGTATTCATGGTTTCCATCATTTTTTTATGCTCCTCTATTTTTTTTTAAATCTCTTTACTTTAGATATGCTGAGCAAATCATTAATTGTGGTTGTCATCTCTGTTTTGTACCTGAGAGATTATTTCTGATCTAATTTCCTCTATAATGTTGCAAATTTGTTTACTTGTTTTGCTGTCATTTTAGAAATTATTGGTGTGTGGTTTCCATTTTCCTCAATCTCAATGTCCACTACACTTGTTCTGGGTTAGCTGGATATCTGGGATTGCATTTTGCTTGTGCATCTTGTCATTTTCTATTTCCTTAAGTTTTTTTTTTTTTTTCTGTTTTGATGCTTGCAACTTTTTATAGTAGATAGTTATGTTACTAATATCAAGGCTTCCCTAAGAAATTTGTGTGCTCTTCAGGGATATCTTCCAGGTATAAAAGGTTCTTGGTTTTTGTGTCTGTCCCAAAATCACATCTTCCAAATTTATTAAGGGTGATATGTTAGTAGGTATTTAGTTCAGCCCCAGTCCTTTGGTACTAAACTTGGTGACATTTATTACCCTAGACTTTCCCAATGTTATTATATAAGGGAAAACAATAGATTAAAACAACTGTGGTATCTTAGGTGAACTAGTATAATTAACAGTAACAATAGCATCAAGCACAGCTTAGAAACTGACAAAATGTGCTATTGATTTGGTACTGTTAGCCATAGGAACAAGATTTACAGTTGTATGACAAAATCCAACATAAATTGGGAGCTTGTATTTGAAGTGTTTCCTTTTGTAAAGGGCTTTTACCCTGTTATGGAGGAATTATAAGGGAGATAATGGGTAAAACATGAATAAAGAGAAATACAGTAGAAGCAAAACTGGATGACAAAAAATGATCACAGAAGCTTTGGGAAACTAGAGACGTGGGCAGAACAGGAAGAATGAAGGACTAAACAAAGGATTATCGAAGCTAACCAGAACGCCTAGAGAGAATGTTCATTTACATGAAAATATTAAATCAGGAGAGGTAATTTAGGAAAGGGAGAAAGACAAATAGATTAGAACAAAAATATAGGGGAAAGAAAAGGAGAAAAGTGAAACCAGCAAAGAAAGAAGAAAAAAACGTAATCAAGAATAAAATTCCTCTGATGTCCACAGAGAGTCCAAAACTACTGGGTGACCCCACCAACTGTTTAGTAGAATTAGTGCTGGATGTGGGGCTGTTCTTGTCCTCTAGATATGGGGAACTGGGCCAAAGTCTTCAGCTAGTACTTTATCTTTCTCCTGATTGCTTTGCAACTCTCAGACCAAGAAAGCCCGGGGTGTATAGTTGTCTCCTCCTTGTTCTTGTGTAGTCACCTGTGTTCCTCTTCTACTGGCACATTTCTGTCCTCTCAAGTCGCTTTTTGCAGGATGGAGTGGGTTGTTGTGCTGTGGACTAACCTTTTGCTTCCATAGTTGCTGTGCAAGGTTGCTCAGTCCGAATTTTGTTTTCTCTCCTGAGAGGGAAGTGCTAACCTCCTACTTGCTGTGCATGGTGCTTTACTGCTTAAGTTCTCTGTCCCTCCAGCAACTGTTACCACAGTAGGAGGGGATGTGCTGTTGCACTCTGTGCCTTTACTGGTGTCTCTGCCACTACCACTACTACTTTTGCTATGGTGGATAACCTTGTGGAATCACTGCTACTTTTGGTGCTGCTTATTGTAGGGTAGAGATGGGGTGGGGTGCTGTGGCCTGACTGTGTGTACCTTTTGCTGATATACGGGGACAGCTGAGGGTTGTTCAATTCTGTGATGCAAGGCTGCTTAAGTCCATGTCCCCGTAGTCGATACTTCCATTTTTTGCGATAGTTGTCATGAATTTTTTATTCAGTACTCCTTAGAGGTATGATTATTTTCTAGGATTAAGAATGTTGAACCAATTTGATGATATCATTTTAAGCTACCTTTCATTTTTTTTTCCTGGCAAGATGTGGATTTTACCAAATAATGTTTATTGCACTCTGCAAAAAGCGGTTGTAGGGGCCTGCCCCTTAGCTCAGGTCTTTAAGTGGCTGCCTCAACAAAGCAGTCAGGCTCAGGTTGCTGTGGTTCGATCCCCACAACTCAAGCCAGCCAAACCTGCCCTGAAGGCATTCGGAGCAAACCCCCCCCCCCAAAAAAAAAATGGTTGTTTCCGTAGCTTTTTGGAGCACCAGAATCATTATTGAAGTGATGCTTTTAAAGGTATGGGCTACTCTGGTGAAATTTTTCAGAGTTGGATAGAGATGGAGTGTTTTTATTTTTAAGAAATACATTACTCAGCCACTAATACTATGGAAAAATCCATAAGCAGTAAGTGCTGTTGTTCTGTAATTGTATAATTTTAAAACAAAGGAATAAAGGAGGTAGTTAAATCATAATTTAGTGAATTTTCTTTCATCTGGTAATTTAGTTCCATGATATTGATAACTGTCTGAACAATTAATATTTAAACCAGTGCCTTTTTTTCTGTAAGGCCGAGGTTTTTTTTTTTTTGTTTTTGGTGGTACTGGGGATTGAACTCAGGACTCTGCACTTTACCAGGCAAGCACTTGTTCTACTGAGCTATCTCCCTAGCTCCTGTACAGCCTAGTTTTATTCCTATCTCTTGCTTTACATTGACATAACAAAAAAAGAAAGGATAGAAAATGAAAGCCCCACTAGAAATTTCATTATTTTTTGTAATGTATTCATATGTATATATATTTCTATCATGAAATACAAATGCACATAAATTTATGAGAAATGTTCAACATCATTGGTCATTCAAGGAATGCGAATTAACAAAGTACTTGAGAGATGTCATCTCATCCCAAAATAAGTGGCTATCATCAAGAAATCAACCAGTGACAAATGCTGGCGGAGTTGGGGGAAAAAAGAACTCTTGTCCACGTTGGTGTCAGTGTAGACTGGTATAACCACCATGGAAATCCATGTGGTGATTCCTCAAAAAACTAGGATTAGAGGTCCCATTGGACCCAGCTATTGGCCTTGTAGGTATTTCAGAGGAATTAAAAACATCATACCATAGTGGTATATATGTGCACGCATGTTTACAGTAGCACAATTTTTAATAGCTAAATCTTGGAAACAACCTAGATGCCCATCAACTAAGGGATGGACAGAAAAAAATGTATTTTTATGCAATGGAGTACTACCAAGATTTAAAGAATGATAAACTTTCATTTTAAATGAGGCTTTTTTAGGTTTATAGATACATTTTGAGGCCATTATAAGTGAAATAAATCATACATGTGAAAACATCATATTGTCTCCCTAATGTAAAAACTAAAAGAGTAGATAAGACCCAAGTTGTATGGTAGATTTCGTGAAAAGGAAAGAAACTATTGAAAAAGAGAAACTAGGATGGAAGAAAAGAGAAAAGAAGGAAGGGAAAAAAATATATATGTATATATTTATATGTTTACATATGTTTATATATGTATATATACACACGTATAATAGCTAGTGTAAATATACCAATTTATATTCATTAAAAATAATGGTTTATGTTTATATGATTTAATTTTTCCTGCCTGTATCTTGTAATCTAAGCATCTATTTTGAAAATAACAATATGCATTATATTAACCATTGTTAATCCTAGTTTGTTTTGAAAGTGTATTTTTTTCCTCATAAAAAAGATGTTTGAGGTCAATAATCAGCATGTTGTAATTTCACATAGCTCTGATTTTTCAAGGCTGAGTCAACACAAATTGCATATACAACTATGACATAAGGTTTTACTTTTCAGAAATACCATGAAAGTAAAAATAGTATTAATGTGTTTTCTAGGTTTTTTTTTCTGATATTAGTTTTATCTTCTTTACATTGCTTAAATGCCTTTTTATTTCTAAATCCTCACTAAATTTTAGTATTGGATTTTAAGTCAGTTTGTCTTATAGCTGAATAAAATACTTGATTTCACATTATAAACTAAATACTATTCTTTTTAGAATTTTTTTAAATTGATTTTAGAAGCACATGAAATAACTGATGTTTACAAAATTATTTTCAGTTCATCCAGAGCAGCTTCCTCCGAGGCCATGGATTACGTTAAAAGAACGAGACCAAATTCTGCCATCAGGTAGTGTTTTTCTTTTTTTTTTTTTTTTTGTTTTTTGTTTTTTCTCCATACTTTCTTGAGTGTTCTCAGATATACTTAAAATACAATTTCAGCTCCATGATCTATAATAGACCTTTATTTTACCTTTTTTGTGTAGGAAAGCTTAGAAATATTGATGGATAGACTTACAAAATTCACTTTTTGATAGCAAGATGTACAAATATACTTCACAATGATGCACCTCTTGGTTTTAAAATTATTCATTGCTAGGGTGGGTCTGGCAGTGCATGTCTGTAATTCCTGCATTTAAGAGGCTGAGGCAGGACAATTGCTGTGAATTTGAGGCCACACAGGGATTATAGTGAGTTCAGAGGCATCCTGAATGCTGCATAGTAAGACCTTGTCTTTAAAAAAGAAAAAGAAAAAAAAAAATCCTATTATACAGCTTTCCAAATCTTGTCTTCCAAAATTAATAATTATGAATTTCCTCTGGAACTAAAAATTCAAACTTCATTGGTACTTTTACCATTCTTAAAAGTTGGGCTGATGACAATCAGTGATAAGTTAATGGTCCTGGCAGTAAAATACTGCAATACAAAGTCATAGAAATGGAAAAGGTGAATATTTGAGTGATTTAAGGAGATAATCTAACATGTCTAGAACAGTTATAATCTAGAAAATATAAACCTTTGTCTTTTGGGGGAGAGCAGTCATGGGTTTACATTTGTAGGATTTCTTACTACATATTAGACATTTTAGACTTGGGAGTTCTTAAAATAATTTATTAAATGAAGATTTACTGTTTTGATAGGTTACATCAGCCACTGAACATTTATTTCTACTTCGATAACCTTTAAAGGTTAAGTCTCTGCATTTATTATTTTGTGGAATTTAAAGCCCTTTTATTTTTGTCTTATAAAAAATTAAAGGGTTTTGGGAGAAAACATATATCATAGTATTGGGAAATATCTCTTATAACCTCTTCATGTTTGTTTTTATTATTTTTTAATTTTGTGTATTTGGTATAGGTTCTCATTGTGCAGCTTGGACACATAGTGATTCTCATGTTTCAGCCTCCAGCACTGGGATAACAGGTGTGCCCCACCACACCCAGTGTAGGTGGTCCAGCATGCCCAGGGTGGGGCTAGCACAATGTGTGATATCAGGATTGAACCCAGGTCCTTGTCCTTGCCTAGTCAGGTGCTTAGAGCATTGAGCTATCTCCATGGCCTGTTTTTAATAACTGAGAAATTGTAAATTTTTTTTTGTCTTACCAGAAGTAATAATTTTAAAACTGTAATGCTGTAAAACCATTGTATTGGTTAGTTACAAGAGGCACTGTATCACCAGTCATGGTGGCGCATGCCTATAATCCCAGCATTCAGGAGGCTCACCATGAGTTCAAGGCCAGCCTGGACTACATAGTTGATCCTGTCTCAAAAAACGAAATAATGAAAAAAGAGGCATTGTCATGAATGGCAATTGTACTATCAGGGATAAACATTGATGGTTAAAAAGGAACACCCAAGGTTTTTCTACAAAGCCTTGAGTTAGGTAGATTTATACTTTTCCTAGTCATTCCTATTCCCTCTCTGATACTGAAAATGCCATTTTCTAGTTCTTAATAATCTTCATGGTTGGGGTGATGGCTCAGTGGAATAAGCACTTCCCTGGCAAGTGCAAGGGCCTGAGTTCAATCCCTGGTTCCACAAAAAAGAAAAAAAAAAAAAAAAAAAAAAAGAAAGAATTTTAGGGGCCGGGGAGATGGCTCAGTGGAATAAGTGCTTCCCTGACAAGTGCAAGGGCCTGAGTTCAATCCCCGGTTCTGTAAAAAATAAAATAAAATAAAAAACTATTTTAACTTGTAATTAAAAAAAAAAAATCTTCATTTGAACATGTGTGGGCATAATCCTGAAATGCCTTCTTCATATTGAACAGCTACATTTTTATTGGTAAAAGGAACAACCTAAACAAGTTTTCACTAGTTGGCAAATTCTCAAAGTAATGTATTCTTGAGATTTCCTTTATAGAAAAAGTAGTAAGATTTTTCTTCGTATATATGGTGCTTCCTTAGGTAGATACTGAGTGCTAACAAAAGATAATAAAAGTTCCTTTTCTGGTACATACAGGGATGTGTTTCATAACTAATGATGGTTGAGAGTCATTTGTAGCCAAACAGTGATGATGATAAACTATGTAGGAGTCAACCCCAAGAAATGAAAAAAGTAATCGATAGAATTGGTAAAACAGTAAGGATAACAGCAACTTAGCTAATTTTTACTTCTGTTTAAAAATTGTAGGCCAGTGGTGGTGAGCCTGTGTCATGAATGCCAAAGTAGACTGTTTATATCATTGAAAGCTCTGAAAAGATTCTCCATTACTGTTGTAGACATTGTATTGATAGATTTTTATAAATGAAATTTTATGGAAATAATGATCTCTGGCCTTTTCTATAAAATCTCACTTCACAAAATCTTTGAAAAAATATGAGTGATGCAAATAACTCTTTCTCTTGCTTCTTTTTTGTCTTTCAAAGAACATTTCAAAATCTGTATTTGAAAGAAGCAGAGTAAACTCAGGGTGCTCATGATATACTGGATTGGAAATGGTTCTGGATCAGTTCCAAGATAAGCATTGACTATGAGTAACTGAAGCTGAAATTTAGTTCTCAGTTTACACAAAGATCACCAGACAGTACTTAGCAGACCCCTGAATTGAGTTTCTGTTAATATGTTTCCCATCATCTGAAATGGAACCAATTTAAATTGTTTCTTTATCATGAATTCCTAACATTTCAGTTTTAATAGGTGATTCTTAACCATGTCTGTTCATTTAATCACCTGGTGTATGTTTTAAAAATGTGCAGAATTTATTTTCCTAAAAGAATTAAAGACACATTACAGTGATACATGTGTACCTATGTTTATACAAGCACTATTCATAATTGTTAAATCTTGGAACTGGCCTATATGTCCATCAGCGGATGAATAGTAAAGGAAATGTGTTATTTATATACAATGGAGTACTATTCTGTCATAAAGAAGACATATGAGTTGCAGGAAAATAGATGCAACTTGAGACCATAATGTGAAATAAATCAGGTATACAAGCTTAACTATCACAATTTTTTAATATGAGAAACACAAATTACAGTATAAATAACATAAAAGATAGTAGGTCATAGATCTTTTGTAAAAGGGAAGAAGAGATAGGGATGGAGGGAGGTAGGGAGAAGGAAAGAGATTGAAAAAAGAATTAAGGTGTTTTATATATATGTACTAAGTCGCTACAAGGAGTACCATCATTGTGTACTACAAGTACTAATAAAAAATATATCGATCACAACCACCTAGAACTTAATACAATCTCTGATATAGTTAATCTGGAGTCACACCCTTTGTATCAGTCTATTTTTTTTCCTAAGTGATACTAGTGGGCACGCATAATAGGGAATTACTGATGAAAATTATATCTGTGCATATGAATCACCTAAGGGATTGTGTTAAACTGCAACTTCTGTTTTATAGGTGTTCATGGGACTGGACAGTCTGCATTTCTAAACTTCCTGAGAATGCCTGGTGGTGCTGGGCCTAAGAGTACTTTTTTCAGTAGTGAGGATACAAACATCTTCTCTGGACTGTTAGCTTGCCCACACTCTTTTTATTGTTCAAGGAAATTTTAAAATATTTTATTTTTTTTATTTGAGACAGGGTCTACTTGTGTAGTTTAGGGTACCTTGAACTCACTCTGTAGCCCAGGCTAGCCTCAAATTCATAGTGATCCTCCTGCCTCAGCCTCTTGGGTGCTGGGATTGCAGGAGTGCAGCACCATACATACATAGCTGAGAATTTTTTTTAAAAAGTGAACATTTAGCAAAAAGGATTCCTTTTTTAAAAAAGTTTGTTAGTTCACACACACATAGTTCAGAGCAGTAACAGGCCCCCCCAAAAGTACTAAGTATGATATTTTGATAATAAATTGAGAGGCCAGGGATATAGTTCAGTGGCACAGGACTTGCCTTGCAAATACAAGGTCCCGAATTCAATTCCCACAGTAACCACACACACAAAAAGTTATGAGGGGCTGGGGAAATGGCTCAGTAGAATAAGCACTTCCCTGGCAAGCGCAAGGGCCTGAGTTCAATCCCTGGTTCTGCCAGAAATAAAAATGTTTCCTTGTTAGGGCCGGGAAGATGGCTCAGTAAGAATAAGCGCTTCCCTGGCAAGCGCAAGGACCTGAGTTCAATCTGTGGTTCTGAAAAAAAAAAAAAAAAATAGTTATGAGACTAGAGTCCTTTCATTAGAATGAGACCAAAATTTACTTTTGTTCCACTTCCATAAAAACCTATGCAAAGAACATACATAGCTTTAGTACTGTGATTAATTTTGAATTATTTAATTTGTTAAAATAAATCTCAGGGCCGGGGAGATGGCTCAGTAGAAGAAGAAGTGCTTCCCTGGCAAGTGCATGGGCCTGAGTTCAATCCCTGGTTCAAAAAAACCCCTCAAATTTCAAATATGAACAATTAATTCTAGACTACTAAGCTTTTGTGTGAAGGATTCCAGTAAAGTTTTAGTAGACATATCTTGCCAGAATCTTACAGTAAATGTGAGATGATATATATGTGTGCTTGTGCTGGTGTACACATGAAAACTGCTTTAGAAAAGTTGCCTAATTTTTTTTATTTTTGTCTGTTTTCTCTCCCACTTCTTAGCATCATTCACGGTTATGTGTTACAATGTTTTATGTGACAAATACGCTACCCGGCAGCTATATGGCTATTGCCCATCCTGGGCATTAAACTGGGAATACAGGAAAAAGGGAATTATGGAAGAAATTGTTAACTGTGATGCAGATATCATTAGTCTTCAGGTAACACTATAAAAATTAATTTGTCTTTAACTTAAAGGTGAATTTAAAAATAATAGAAGATCTTATCTCTGGTAGAGACCCCGTATTTAAAAAACTTGAACCAACCTACCTACCTTCCTTCCTTCCTTCCTTCCTTCCTTCCTTCCTTCCTTCCTTCCTAAAAAAGGTTAATTTTAATAAGCATTGAGGCGATATCCTGTTTTCGCTGCATGCAGCCATGCATTTCTGTTTCTTTTTTTCCGTTATAATTTTTCCCATTATCCATGTTAACATTTCACCTTATGAACAAATCATTGGTAGTGCTGAAAGAGGAAACTGCAGATTTCCAGTTTTTCAGAAATACCAATTTAACTCCTTAAGAGTGTAGGGGGGAAAAAAAAGTGCTTGCCACAAATGGGTTCAATCCCCAGCCCTGAAAAAAAGAAAAATAAACACAACAGCAACGGCAACAAAAATTACATATTTTTGCTTAATTTTATAAACTAACTTAAATTTTTTTCCCCCCTTCGTTGGTTCATGTAGTTTTATCTTAAGGAACTTTGTAATGTATGTTGGACTTTTCAAAATAATGAAAATGATATTCTTGCATCCTTCAAAGACCATTAAGGGCTCAGGTCTCCCAGGGAGCAGAGCACCAATGACAGGCCTCTTAAAGGGCTGAGTAGTAGAAATTGTGTAACCTGGAATTAGAGAGGAAAAATACGGCAGTCTTCTGTTTAATAATATTTTGTAATAATAAAGTTAATTGAAGAGGAAATATAAATTTTATGAAATGTGTTTTATCACTTCAGTATTTGGCTAACAATGATTAGCCAAAAAGTTTTATAATAGTATTAAATAACTTATTCTTAGCAACTTTTTTTTTTTTTTTTTGGTACTGGGGATTGAACTCAGGACCCTGGGCTTGCCAGGCAAGTGCTTATTCTCCCCAGCCCCTATTCTTAGTGACTTTCAAAGCATATTAAGGGCCTAATGATATTTTTAAAATCTTAATTGAAAAATAGTTATTATGTGTATATGTAATATATAGTGTTATATTTCAATGCATCTGAACTGTGTAGAATGATCAGATCAGGCCAGTTAACATATCCATTACTTCACCATTTCTTAAAAGGGTTTAAAAAATTCTTTGTTTTATTTCACATAGTCTTTTCAGCATACCCTGAGAATAAAAATGATTATTGTTAAATATTTATATGCCAATAGGGTACCTTGGTAAGTTATGTTGTCTGTAAAATAAAGTAAATATCTTCCAAAAATTAAACTTTTTTTTAAAGACCTAGAAGTCTTTTTTGTCAGACTGCTATAGAATTAGGGGAAAGAAGCACATAAAATTAGGCTGTAGTAATTACTTTATATTTTGGTTGATTTATAGTAATAACATCTCTACATTCTATTAAATATAGTTTTTAAGGATAAATCATAATTTAAGAAAATTCTATCACATTATATTATAAATTGTTCATTCTAGAAAAATTGAAAATTTCGGCAAAATTTAACATGGTCATGGAAAATACCTATTTACATGTCCTCAAAGTAGTTGCTTTGTTAAAACTTTGGAGTATTTTTTTTTTTTTTTTTTTTTT